CTTCCACCGCTTCACTGCTGCCTCGCGCGACTGCTGCGCTTTCCTTCACCTTGGACTCTGGCGCCTCCCGGTGTTTCTTCCGCGACTCCACGACGCTGACGCCGCTGCCTGTTCCCGCTGCAGTTACTCTTGCTGACCCCTCCGGTGGTCCCGTCGTTGCCCGCAGTTCCACCTCCCTTCCCTGTCCGGCGGTTCCTTCGGGCACTCTCACAGGTCTGCATATCCCCTCGTTCTCCAGGAACCTAGTTGGTGTCGGCTGCCTCCAGGACCTTGGCGTCACCACTACGTTCCCTGGTCACGAGCGGTATGCTGTCTGTACCGAGGCCGCCACTGGTGCCCCCCTTACCACTTTCCCCCGGGACCCGGTGTCCGGCCTGTTCACACTTGACACCGCGCCGTCCCCGGCTGGGTCTTCCCCCCCGGTAGTTGCGTCCACCCAGGTTGCAGCCGCGTGCTCCTGTCGGTCCCTCACTCACCCGACTCTCCTTTGGCACCACCGCCTTGGTCACCCTGCACTCCCACGTCTGCGTCACATGTCCCAGCACGGTCTCGTCCTTGGTCTCCCCGGTTCGTTCCCCGAGTTTCCCTCCTCCCCCGCCCCACCGTGCACGCCTTGTGTCGAGGGCCGGCTCCGCCGTGCCCCTCACTCCTCCTCTTTTCCCCCTACCACCGCACCACTGCAGACTCTGCACATGGACGTCTGGGGCCCAGCCCCGGTCCATGGGCCGCGTCGCGAGCGCTTCTTCCTAGTGCTTGTCGACGACTTCACGCGCTACACCACCGTCTTCCCCCTGGAGCGGAAGGCCGACGTGCCTGACGTTCTCATCCCCTGGCTTGTCTCTGCTCGTGTCCACCGCGGTCTCCCTGCCTTGCGCCTTCACTCCGACCGGGGTGGCGAGTTTGCCTCAGGTGTCCTTGGTCGCTTCTGTCGTGCGGAGGGCATCACCCAGACGTTTACCCTGCCGGACTCCCCGCAGCAGAATGGGGTCGCTGAGCGACGCATCGGTTTGGTCATGGAGGTGGCTCGCACCTCCATGATCCACGCCGGTGCACCCCATTTTCTGTGGCCGTTCGCCGTGCGCTACGCCGCTCACCAGCTTAACCTGTGGCCGCACCCCCAGCGGCCGCAGGTTTCGCCGACCCTTCTGTGGACCGGGTCCCCTGGTGACGCGTCTGCGTTCCGCGTCTGGGGCTGCCTTGCTCACGTTCGTGCCTCTGGCACGGACAAGCTCACTGCCCGCACCCTCCCCTGCGTCTTCCTCGGTTTCCCCCTTGACGCGTCCGACTGGCACTTCTACCACCCGCCGTCTCACCGCTTCTTTCACTCTCGCGACGTCACCTTTGACGAGTCCGTCTCCTTCTACCGCCGCTTTCCCCACCGTGGTCCCCCGGTTACTCCCCCCCTTTTCCTGGTTCCTCCCTCCCTGGTGGTCCCTGCCCCTCCCCCCCCCCGCCCCCCCGTCCGGCCCCCTCTGGTGTGTCTCACGTCACCCCCCTCCCGTCGGTCGTCCCGGTCGACGAGTCTTCTGACTCTGGTAGTCCTCCGGCGCAGTCCTCGCCGTCTGTCCCTCCCCCGGTGTCTCCTCCTCCACCGCCTCCGCAGCCGCCGTCGCCGCAGCTGCTGCAGCCGTCGTCTCCACCGCCGCCGCCGTTGCAGCCGTCGTCTCCGCCGCCGCCGCCGTCGCAGCCGTCGCTGCAGCCGCCGCCGCCGCCGCCGCTGTCGTCGCTGCCGCCGTTTGTGGACTCTGGGGGTGTCCCTTCTGGGGGTGCAGGTGTGGAGGGTTCGGGCGGTAGCCGTCGCGCAGCTTGTGGCCCTGGAGTTGGTGTTGTGTCGCCGCAGCAGCAGTCCCCGCCTGTGTCCGCCCTCCGTCTACTCGGCCTTCCGTCTCCTGACCCTGCGCCTGTTCCTCTCCTGCCGTCTCCCCCTCTTCCCGTCTACGGCCCCGTGTTCCCTCTGCCAGACTCGTCCCCGGCTCGTCTTCCCCCTCGTTCCCCTCCTGTGTCCCCTCCTCTGTCTCCTGACCCGACGCCGCCCTCACACGTCTGGTCTCGCCGCCCCTCTCGTGCTCGTCCTGTCTCCCCTGTCCCGCGCTCTCACCCTATGTTGCTCCGTTCCCACGCGTCTCGACCTCCCCTCCTCCCGTCTCCTCCTCCGTCTTCTCTTGTCGTTGCGTCTCCTCCTCTGTCCGACTCCTTTCGTGCTGCTCGTCCTCTTGTTCCTCGGGTCCTTGCCTCTCTCGTTACCGACCCGTCTGTTCCCGTGTCGAGTCTTGACGCCCTCGTCGCTGCGGTCGCTGACTTCGCCTCTACCCGCCGCCTTGACTACGCCACCGCTCTGGTCTCTCACCCTGCCTGTCCTCCGTCTGTCGGGGTGCTCCTGCCCTCGGCAGTGACGTCCTGGAGGACCGCCAGTTCGAGCTTGCTTTCCTCTCCGAGGCTGCTCCCCATCTCTGTTCCATGCTGCTAGTCCCTGAGGGTGACCCAGACGCTTTCGACATCCCGACCCCTCGTACTTACGCTGAGGCGGTTTCGGGACCCTGGGCCTCTCAGTGGATAGCTGCCATGGAGCAGGAGATGGCATCTTGGAGATCCACCGGCACCTTCGTCGACGCAGTTCCCCCACCTGGGGTGAACGTGGTCGATGGCCGTTGGCTCTTCAAGGTGAAGCGCCCTCCTGGAGAGCCGCCTGTGTTCAAGGCGCGCTACGTGGCTAGAGGCTTCAGTCAGCGCGAGGGGGTGGACTTCTTTCAGACTTTCGCTCCTACCCCGAAGATGACTACTCTTCGTGTGCTGCTACACGAAGCGGCTCAGCGTGACTACGAGCTTCACTCCCTCGACTTCTCCACTGCCTTTCTTCAGGGCAGCCTTCACGAGCAGGTCTACCTGCGTCGCCCTCAGGGCTTTACTGGCACCTTCCCCCCTGGGACCCAGTGGCTTCTGCGGCGGCCAGTCTACGGCCTGCGCCAGGCGCCTCGTGAGTGGCACGACACTTTGCGTGCTACCCTTGCTGACCTGCAGTTCTTTCCGTCCTCTGCAGACCCCTCGCTCTTCGTTCGTGCTGGCTCGACTCCGTTCTACATCCTCGTCTACGTAGACGACCTGGTCTTTGCCACTGCTGACAGGGACGCACTGGCCTCCGTGAAGGCAGAGCTGCTGAAGAGACACACCTGCACTGACCTTGGAGAGCTGCGCCGTTACCTTGGCTTGCAGATCTCCAGGGACAGAGCCGCGCGCACCATCACCCTGACTCAGTCACACTTGGTGCGCCAGGTCCTTCAGAGGTTCGGCCTTCAGTTCTCCTCCGCACAGCCCACCCCTCTTCCTCTGGACCACAGACTCTCCGCTCCAGTTCCTGAGGAGTCGGTAGATCCCAGTGGTCCTTACGCTGAGCTAGTGGGTTGCCTCATGTACCTGATGACTTGCACTCGCCCAGATCTCGCATACCCTCTCAGCATCCTGGCTCGTTTCGTGGCCACAGGCAGGCACCGACCTCAGCACTGGTCTGCCGCTAAGAGGGTTTTGCGTTATCTTGCAAGTACATCGGGCATGGGGTTAGTGCTAGGCGGACGCAGGCCAGTGGTCCTTACTGGACACACAGACGCTTCTTGGGCAGACGACGCCGAGACGCTCAGGTCTTCCCAGGGCTACTGCTTTAGCCTTGGTTCAGGTGCTGTCTCGTGGAGAGCTACCCGCTCTTCGTCTGTTGCCCAGTCCAGTTGTGAGGCCGAGATCTACGCCGGTGCCATGGCGGCACAGGAGCTCCGCTGGCTGACCTTCTTGCTCACTGACTTAGGTGAGCGGCCTAGCTCTGCCCCGGTCCTGTACGCTGACAACAGGGCCATGATCCTCCTGTGTCAGGAGCCTCGACTCGAGGGCAGAGCGAAGCACATCCAGCTGCGGTACTTCCTCCTGCGTGAGCTACAGCAGCGTCGCCAGGCTCGCGTAGTACACTTAGCCTCCGGTGCCAACACAGCTGATATCTTTACGAAGGCGCTTGCGCCTAAAGATCATCAGCGGCACTGTGTGCAGCTTGGTCTGGTTCCTGTAGTCTCTCACTTACTCGGGCCTTGACTCTGTACTGTCATATATATCTGTGTGTACACTCAGACTGGACTTGTGTCCTCTTACAGTGGTTGGACTAGTAGTGCCGCCCTGTACTAGTTCTTGCCTTGCCTGTACTCCTTCTGACTGGTCTTTTAGACCCTTGTCTCAGAGGCTGGACTAGTAGTGCCACCCTGAGCTGCTTGTCTAGAACATTCCCCTATGCAGTCCAGGAGGTGTGTCAAACATGTTTAGTTATCATGCTTGTATAGACTGTATAGGGTTATCTTCTAGAGAGTACAACATTTAGGTATATGTTTGTGTACTCTCTCTCTCTATTCATCAATTTCACTGTTTGTTACTAACTACACTTAATCGACTTATAGAAATGCTAAGTATCAATTATATCACAACACACATCATCTTGCTTTGGCGAACCCGAATCTACCACGCGACGCGCTCCTGTTACGTGAAAGGTCAAAACCTAGGGCAAAAGCGACTCTTAACGGAAAAAAAACGGTTATGCATTGTAACTAAGGCTTATTTGCAAGTCTGGGGCAGAGAACCCGTGTTGAGTCCACGCGGATCTCATGTCACACTGAAGCCTTTTCAGCAACCTATTTGCGATGTGAAACGTAGCATAACTACACGATAAAAACAGGCAATGCCAAATATTCGGTCCAGTTGTAAAAATTGGATCGTCTCTGATTGGTAAATCGCTAAATTCTCACAACCAAAAGCAAGATCTGATACAGATTCTCTCACGTCGCGCTTCGTAGGTTCTCCTAAGCAGAAACGCTTTTGCAGAGAATGTTGACAAGTTCTATTGTATTTACGTGAAATTCTTAGTGCTCCTGAAACACTCGCTATTCAAAGCAGGAAGAGGTGTACTTCCATCCAAAACGGGGATGCTCTGGGCAAGGTCGGACAGCGCAGACTGGAGAACAGCCCTGCCCAATGCACGTCCCTCCCTCCAGCCATGCCCCGCCTGCCCGCCTCTCCCACATCCAACGCCGCCTCCGCGCCTGAGCATCGCGACGCCCCTCGCCGCCCCTCGCCGCTCGCCGCCCTCGCGCACACCGCCACGTCACGCGCCACGCCGCGAGCCCGCGAAACCGACGGCCGCAGCTACTGCCGGGGGAGGGAGCCGCTCCGACCTCCGCACCTCGCTCGCCCCGCGCTTCCCGCCACCCGACCACAAGCGCCCAGACCGCGTGCTCCACGCGCACGATGGCAGCGAATCTTGGTCGCGGTGCTTTGCTTATCGGGGATCGCGCTTGCCCTGAGCCCGCTGGCGAGTGGCGGGCAATGGCGGCGGGCATTCTCTCGGCCGCTGCCTCTCCGCATGCTGGGGCGAGCTACCGACGACGGCATGCGACGCACTGTTTGGCCCAGCGACGACGACCTGCGACTATCAAGCGACGGATTCGCGGAGGGGGAAGCGGGGAGCGGGGGGAAACGGAACTGGGGTTGGCGCGACTGGAAGGGCGCGGGGGAAGGTGAGTTGGGCGGGGGCTTGAGTGAAGCGCGGAGGCGGGAGGCGCTGCAGGGGCAGGGGGGGGGGAGCAGAGGGGCGAAGCTGAGGGCGAGGGCAGCGGGCGAGCAGAGCAGGCGAGGCGGCGGCGATGCGGGCATGAGAGGGCGGCAGGCGGAGGAGACAAGGGGCGAGCAGGGCGGGGCGGGGGCAAGCAAGGGGGAAACTGTCAGCCGGGGAGGCATGGGCAGCCAGGGGGGCCAGCGGTATGGAGTGCAGGCGGTGCAACGGGAGGCGTGGTGGACGGCGTTCCAGACAGGCGCTGCTGTGAGCACAGAGGGCGTCCCACAATGCTCCGCGCTGCTACCCGCCGACTTACAGGCGCTCAACCAGTGCGTGCTGCCGCCATGCATGCAGGCGCACCCTCCTGTACTTGCAAGGACTCTTTCACTACTACTCTCTCCCCCTCTTCCACATGCTCGCTCCCCCCTCCCTTCCTCCTCTTTGTGAATGCATCCCCATCTCTCTGCATCCCCATCTCTCTGCATCCCCATCTCTCTGCCTCCCCATCTCTCTGCCAACCCCATCCCTATGCCATCCCCCTCGCCCACCCCAGCGCCCCGCTCGCCCCCACAGCTGGCCTGTCAGTGGCGGACCTCACGCTGCCGGACGTGCGGTGGCTGCTCGTGCTGCCGCGCCACGGCGTGGGCAACACGCTGCGCGGCTGGGTGTCCGCCGTAGCGTACGCCGCGCTGGCGGGCCGCACCCTGGTGCGCGCGCACGCTGCGGCACACAGCCGCGTGTTTGACGCGCTCTGCCTCGCCTTCCGCTGCGGCTTCCCGGTGCTCAGAGGACCGCTCTCCCTGGCAGTGGGCACAGAGGGGGAGGCGGGCAGTGGAGGGGCGAGTGAGGGCAGTCGGGAGCGGGAGGCGGAGGAGGTGATGAAGGGCGTGCAGGCGCTGGACCCCATGTTCTTCCTCGAGATCAGCGACTCGCCCACCTGTAACCACACGCGCACCGCACCTCCTACAACCCGCGCTCTCCCATACCATGGTTCTCCCATCCCATGGCTCTCCCATCCCATGGTTCTCCCATCCCATGGCTCTCCCATCCCATGGTTCTCCCATCCCATGGTTCTCTGTCTTCAATCTTGCTCCTGCTGCCACTCCGCATGTGGCCTTGCCGCCATGCATGGCCGGAAAGCACTCACTGCTACGTCTTCTCGATCCACTGCCCATTCTTCGCACGCCTGTGCTCATCTCCTTCCATCCCCATGCGCCCCTGCCCCAGCCGTGACGGACACACTCGCCTCGGACTACCCACTGCTGGCCACGCGCTCGGGCACCTTCTTTGACGCCTTCTGGCAGCACTCCCCCCCTCTGCGCGCCTGTGTCTTGGCCGCCTTCTCCTGCGCCTCCCTCCACTGCGTGCGCTCCAAAGCCCTCTTCGCGCTGCTCGGCGGCGGCCCCTCGCCCGCCCTGCTGCTCACTGCCCGTGCCGTGCTGCGCGGCCCGGCAGGTGGTGAGGGGGGGAAAGAGGGGGCGGATTCTGAGGGAGGAGGGAGGGCAGGTGTTGAAGGGGCAACTTCAGAGCCGCTGCAGAAAGGGAAGACGGAAAGAGGGCATAAGAGCACGGGTGTGGCGGACCCTGGGATGTCCAAGGGGCGGCTTCTCCTGAATGTGGGGCGCAAGGGTGGGGGTGAGGGAGTGGGCGGGGATGGAGGGCAGGTGGCAGGAGGGGGGGAGCAGCTAGACGTGGCGGTGCGGTTTGACGTGGCGGTGCACGTGCGCACACGCACTCTGGTGCTGGAGAAGGCAGTTAAGGCCGGTAGCACAGACACCCAGTGGCAGGGGTGCACTGATGCGGGCGCCAGCCCCTCGTCCTCCCCTTTCCTGCAGGACTGCCTGTGGCAGTGCGTGCTCTCCAGCATTGCTCAACTCACTGCCAACAGCAGCAGCAGCAGCAGCAGCATACATGGGGTCGAGCAGTCAGTTCCATCAGCATCTTCTCGCCACCTGCTCTCGTCCCCTTCAGCCAGTGGCGGCACAGGGCACGTGGCGTCAGCAGGGCGAGGCAGGAGGGTGTCGGTGTTCCTGGCGACGGACAGTGAGGAGCTGCGGCCGGCCTTGGTGGCGCGCCTGCAGCGCATGGCGGCAGCGGACGTGTTCTGGTCCGCAGGCGCCGTGCGCCACACGTCCAAGGCAGGGGCGGACGGGCAGGCGGGGGGGGCGGGGCTGCACAGCATGGCGGACTGGTGGCTGCTGGCACGGGCCTCGGCCGTGCTGCAGGTGGCGCATGACAGCTCCTTTGCTTACTTCGCTGCTCTCTTTGCCAACAGCACGTTTGCTGCACTCTCCACAACACACGGCCGCTGTCATCTGCATTTTGAACATATAGCTGAGCCCGTGACATGAATAAAGGCTATTCAATTAGCTAAATAAGCTATCTGTTGGTGGAATAATCCAGAGGAAATCTCTGCCAAGTGCACAATAGCACACGTCCAAGAGCGATCTCTATACAATAGCCACTGCTGCACTCTCCTGGGCTGAGTGTATCTCCCGCGGTGCACACTGCTACACTTGTCATTCGCACTCCCTACCACGCATCCCTGCACGCGCCCCAACCCCCCCTTCTCCTCCCCCCCCCCCCCCCCATGTGCTGCGCCCTGGGTTTATGCTCGCGCCTCGTCGGGCTGGTGGGTGGTGATGGGGCGGCCGAAGAGGGCAGCAATGGCGGCCGTGGGGTCGTTGGTGCGCACCAGAGACTCGCCCACCAGCACCTGGAGGGGGGAGGGGGGGGTGCACCGTGCAAACAAGTGGAGGAGGGCGGGAGAATAGGAGGTGAGATGTAGCAGGCACACGACCCACACAACGATGGTGGGGGGGTGCAAGGGAGACGAGGTGGGGTGGGGGGGAAGTGGTGCACAGAGGGAATGCGGGGACAGTTGAACATGGCAAGGCTGCCCAGGCAGGTTGGGCAAGCAAGTTCAACAAGCAGGTTCGGCAAGCAGGTTGGGCAAGCAGGCTGGCATGCAGGTTGGGCGTGCAGGTTGGGCGTGTGGCGCTCACAGCATTGCAGCCCGCCTTTTGCACGAAGGCCACATCGTCGGGAGTGAAGAGGCCCGACTCGCCCACCACCTGGGTAACCGCCACATGGGGGCACGGGGGGGAGGGGTACACGCATGGGGGCACGGGGGGGGGGGTACATGCATGGGGGCACGGGGGGGAGGGGTACATGCATGGGGGCACGGGGGGGAGGGGTACATGCATGGGGGCAGGCGGGGGAGGGGTACATGCATGGGGGCACGGGGGGGAGGGGTACATACATGGGGGCACGGAGGGGAGGGGTACATGCATGGGGGCACGGGGGGAGGGGTACATGCATGGGGGCACGGAGGGGAGGGGTACATGCATGGGGGCATGGAGGGGAGGGGTACATGCAAGGGGGCATGGACGGAATGGGAGATGGTGGCAGTGGAGGCGGTTGATCGAAGCTGGAGGTGCGTGTGAGAGACGAACGCCACTGGGACATCACGAATCCTTATCTGCCACCCTCCAACCCTCACAACCCTTCCCCCCAGCCGAGCATCGCACCCCACCCCCGCCTCACCATGATGCCTCTGTCGCGGATGGCGGCCCCCCTGTCCCCCGCCAGCAGCTGCTGCGTGTTGCCGATGTCCACCTTGAACGTGCCTGGGGGCGCGCAGGGCAACGTGGGGCGGCGTGCCATATGATGAGCAGCACTTGGGCGCATGGGGGCGACAGGGGAGCACATAGCATGTGCTGTGGACGACGGCAGCAGGGAAGTGGTTAGGGCAAGCAAGAGCGCAGTGGGGCAGGGGGGCAGGGGGGCAGTACCGAGGTCGCGGTTGTTGATGCCGATGAGTGCCACCCCCTCCAGCGCCAGCACACGGTCCATCTCCCGCTCCGTGTGCACCTGGGGGGGGGGGCAGCAATCAGAGGGGAGGCGGGAGCACGTTGGTGCAGCACACAGGCAACGGGGGTGCAGCGATGAGGGGAAGGGGGAGCAGGGTGGAGTATGTGAGGGTGCAGAGGTGGGATAGAGGGAGGTGGTGCAGCAGGTGCAAGAGCAGGGAGATGAAGGCAGGGGAGGCGAAGCAGCGCGGTGCATGGAGGCACCTCGATGAGGGCGGCCATGCCCAGGGCGTGCGTGATCTTCATCAGGTACCGCAGGTCCTGATCCGTCAGCACGGCCGCGATCAGCAGCACGGCGTCCGCGCCCTTGGAGCGCGCGCAGTACACCTGCCAAGCGTCCACGATGAACTCCTTGCACAGAAGCGGGCACGCCACGCCCGCCTCGCGGATCAGCGCCAGGTTCTCAAAGCTGCCCTGGGAGGTGCAGGCAGGGGGAGGGGGGGGAGAGGAGGGTGAGGAGAGGGAGAGGGGAGAGTGAGGAGGGGCAAAATGGGTAAGGTGGCGGTGGACAGTTGGGTGATGGCAAAGCTCTTGCATGGACAATGGCTTTGCGTGCCAACTTGTGTCGCATGCAAAACCTGCTACCAGGCAGGACGGCTTGAGTGGCACGCTGCCAGTGCGTGCGATGCACATGGGGGTGCTCCATGTGGAAGCCATCCACTGCAAAAAAAGCAGCCTACAGCGGTCACGGCAAGACGGCAGCGGGTGCGGCAAGCGCGCACCTGGAAGAACTTGCTGTCGGTGAGCACCGACAGGCATGCGGCGCCACCCGTCTCATACGCCTTGGCGATGCGCACCTGGTGGGGGGAAGAGTGGGGGGAGAGGTGTGCAGGCAGAGAGGGAGGGATGGGTAATGCTCGTCTTTGCAAGCGTGGGGCGCAGGGCGCACATGGACGGCAGTGGCGGGCTTTTGAGTCGACTCAAAGGGCGCACATGGACGGCAGTGGCGGGCGGGGCGAGCACAATGCAACAAGCAGTCCAGACGCAAGGACGTGGAGGGCGGCGTTGAGCAAGGGAGCAAGGGCGCACGGGGTCGAAGTCGGGCTGGATGACTCCGCGGCTGGGCGACGCCTTCTTCACCTCCGCTATCAGCGCCGGCATGCCGCTCGCCGCCTCGTGCGCCCTCAGCGCGCCCACGAAGTCCCTTGCGGGCTCCGCGCCCTCCAGCGCGCGCGCCAGGGCGGCGAGCGGCGTGCGCTCCTTGAACGCCGCCACCTCGCCGTCCTTGTGCCACACGATCTCCTCCAAGATATTTCGCGGAACGTTCTCCTCCACCTTGCCGCCCACGCGGAACTGGAACGGCCCCACCATGTGCGCCGCCGCGCCCCCCGGCGGCCGCCGCCGGATGGTCACTCCGTCGCGCTCCTCCGCCGCCGCCTCCGCCGCGCGCTGCTGCTCCTCCGCCCACCCGGGCGGGGGAACGGGCACCGTAGACGGCGCCGCCTCCAATTCCGCTGGCGCGGCGGACGGGTCGGGGGAGGCGGACGCGCGGACGAATGGCAGGCGCTGGGAGGTGGGGGAGAGGGGGGGGGGGGGGAGGCCCAGTGGGAGGGAATGGGGGAAAGTTGGGAGTATGGATGAGAGGGAAAGGGGGAGTGAGTGGTAGGGTGGTCGGCGCGGTTGAGCGGGGAGAGCGGGGCGATGGGCAGCGAGGGGAGAGGAGGAGCGCGGGGAGGAAGAGAAGCCTGGGAGGCTTGTAGGAACGCGGAGAGAAGGCGCGCGCACGGGGAGCAAGGGTCGCACGGGCCGGGAGCGCGGCGGAGTGGGAGAACGAGCGGCGAGCGGCGATGCGAAACACGCGACGACGAGCCCGCTGCAGCAAGCGCGCAGGTCGTTGCACGGCCCGAGGCGCATGCGGCACTCACTCGCATGGGCTGCGCCCTCGAAGCGACGCTCGCTGCGGCGGAGTGCCACGTGGCGAGCGGCGAGGAGGCGAGCGTGTGCGTGAGGGCGGTGGGGGCGAGCAGGGAGGCCATGGAGGCACGCGCGAGAGCGGGGAGGCACGCGGGAGAGCGGGGAGGCACGCTGGACCGCTGAGGCGTGTGGATGCGTGAGAGGGCACGCTGGAGATAAGTGATGTGGGTGCGGGAATTGTGCGGGGTTATGAAATGCGGGAGACAGATGCCTGCAGGTGTGCGATTTGACAAACTAAACTGAACCCTGATTTGACACTTTCGCGGGGTGCTGGTTACCAGTGGCAAATTTCCGTCCTACACCCCAAACCTCGCACCACAATCTCGCCACTCCTTCCTTCACTTCTCCCACCCATTCCCCTCGCTCCTCCCTGCCCTGTCCGTCCCACGCGCGCGTGTGCCGACTGTTATCTCTCATCGCACCGCGCATGCTGCTACCGCCCCGGCTCGCTTTGTCCCGCATGCACATTCCACGCTCCGCTCTCGCGCCCCTCTCAACCGCGCATCAACCCCTCCCGCCCCTCCCGCTCCCGTGCGTCTCTGTCCGCCATGCGCCATGCCCGCGCATCCCCGCCCTGCCCACCTGCGCCACCCTCCGCGCGCTCCTCGCGCCGTTTGCATTCGTCGCGACGCAGCGAGCGGCGCGAGGGATCGTGGCGAATGGCTCGGCAGCGGTGAGGGAGATGAGCCTCTCCGCCGCCCGCCACGTGCTCGCTGCGCGCCGATGCGAGTCTGCTTCGCCGCACTGCGGAATAGGGGAGTGGGGTCGCGGTGAGGGGGGGGGACACAGGGCGATGGGGTGGCGAGGCGGAAGACGCGGAGCGGCGGGGCGGAAGATGGTGACGTGTGGGGTTGGGAGGGAGGGGGGGGAGAAGAGAGGAGGAGGAGAGAGAGAGGAAGGGGTGGAAATAGAGGAGGAGAGTGAGAATGAGGAGGGGAAGAGAGAGTGGTGGGAGGAGGAATTCAGTGAGTTGGCGGAGGGGGAGAAGCGGGGGCAAGAGGGCGGAGGGGAAGGGGGGACGGTGGAGCAGGCGGGGGCGGAGGAGGCGCGGCGGGCGGCGGTGGTGGCGTACCTGGAGGGGGAGGGCGTGGCGGCGGAGCTGGTGGGCGACGTGGCGCTGCCGCTGGACGTGGGCGTGGTGCAGGAGAGAGTGGCGTTCCTCAGATCGCTGGGACTGGACGTGGCCGAGGTGAGAAGGGGGGCTCAGCGTGGCTCTTGGAAGCGCTAAAGGCATGAGCAGCAGATAGGGGAGCTGCGACCTTCACTTGCTTTCTTCACTTACTTCACTTCTTGCCCCTCCGGCCCTCTCTCACCCCCCCCCAGGTGGTGGGGCGCTACCCGCCCGTGCTGTGTGGCAGCATCACGCGCAACTACATCCCCGTGCTGGCGCACCTGGAGAGCATCCCCATCCCGCGCGCGCACCTGCCCGCCTTCCTCACGTGCTACCCGCGTGTGCTCTTCTGCTCCGTGCGCATCGACCTGCAGCCCGTGCTGCACTACCTGCTCGGCCTCGGCGTGCCGCCGCCCGCGCTTGGCTCCGTGCTGACGCGGTGCCCGCCGCTGCTGGGGCTGCGGCCGGAGGGCAGCATGAGCACGAGCGTGGCGTACCTGGTGGGCATCGGCGTGGACATGAGGGCCATTGGCGCCATGGTGGTGCAGCTGCCGCAGCTGCTGGCCATGCGCGCCGCCACCACCATCCGCCCCAAGGCCGCCTTCCTCGCTCACGCCCTCGCCATGCCGCTGCCGCACGTGGCTCGCCTGCTGCAGGCGCGCCCGCAGCTGCTGGCGCTGGACCTGAACCACCAGCTGCATCCCGCCCTCGCTGCGCTGCATGGTGCCGGGCTGTCCGTGCCGCAGATGCGTGCCGCTGTCACCGCCTTCCCGCACCTGCTCGCCCTGCCCCTAGCCAACCTGCTGCCCCCCACCCTCCTCTGGCTCTCCTCGCACGCCCACCTGCCGCCCGCCTCCCTGGCAGGCGTGCTGGCAGGGCTGCCGCAGGTGGTGCTGGCGGACAAGGCGCAGATGGCCCTCAAGCTGCAGGCGCTGCAGCAGCATGGGTTCTCGCAGCAGCAGGTAGCGGCCGTGGTGGCAGGCTGCCCGCAGGTGCTGGGGCAGCGAGTGGAGACCATTGGCAGGAAGCTCGCCCTGCTGCTGCTGCACAGGGCACACGCCGACGTGGTGGCCTTCCCACCCTGCCTTGCATGCAAGGCGGAGGTGCTGAAGGAGAGGCTGGGAGCGGCACAAGCTGCTGGGGTGAGGGGCTCACTAGAGTGGCTGCTTGACTGCTCTGACACCACCTTCCAAGAACATTTGAGAACTGAGCTTGTACCATTGCCACCTCCTGTGGAGGTGGTCATGCAAGAGTATGATTAAAGATGCTGGAGCATTCCAATGTTGTGGTTGAAGTGCGGGCATGTAATCGTTCTTCAGGGATACATGTCGATCTCAAGAAAGGCCTTTGAGTTACGTGCTTCATGTTGTTTAGTACAGCATTGTCTTCCCCAGGTAGGCATGTCCTGCTCAGGGCCCAAAATTGGTTTTAGGCCACCCTTAAGAATCAGCGTACCAGAAAAAACCGCCTTGACAGAAAGGGTTAAAACTGTCAAACATGTGTAATCTGTAATGTTTGTATAGACTGTATAGGGTCACCTCTTAGAGGGTACAACCCTTAGATATAGTTCCTTGTACACAGTTCTCTAATCAATCATTCAGTTCTAAGATGGTATCAGCAGTAGGTAGGTCCCGCCCCCGCCCACGCTTCCACTCTAGGACCTAGCCGCGCCCTAGCCGCCCCACCTAGCCGCGCCCGTCCTACCGGCCCCCGTGCCCGTCCTAACTGCCCCCCCCCCCCGCGCCCGTCCTAGCTGGCCCCGCGCCCGTCCTAGCGGCCCCCGCACTCGTCCTAGTCGACCCCGCGCCCGTCCTACCGGCCCCCGTGCCCGTCCTAACGGCCCCCGTGCCCATCCTAACGGCCCCCGCGCCCGTCCTAGCGGCCCCCGTGCCCGCCCTAACGGCCCCCGCGCCCGTCCTAGCGGCCCCCGCGCCCGTCCTAGTCGACCCCGCGCCCGTCCTACTGGCCCCCGTGCCCGTCCTAACGGCCCCCGCGCCCGTCCTAGCCGGCCCCGCGCCCGTCCCAGGCCCGTCCTAGCCGGCCCCGCGCCCGTCCTACCTGGCCCCCGCGCCCGTCCTGCCTGGCCCCCGCGCCCGTCCTACCTGGCCCCGCGCCCGTCCTAGCCGGCCCGGCGCCCGCCACTACTGGCCCCCGCACCCGTTCTGCCGACCCCTGCGCCCGCCCTGCCCGTCGACCTCCGGCCCCGTGCTCACCTTCCCGCCGGACTGCCGCCGATTTGCGTGCGGCCCGCCCTTCGTGCCTGCTACTGCACTGCACCCTCCCTGGTACGGTTCTCCATCACCTTTCACTGCACTGCACCCCACTGCACCGCACGGCACCGCACTGCACCGCACTGTATCGCACTCTACCGTACTGCACCGCACTGTACCGCGCTACACCGCACTATACCGCACTGCACAACACTGCACCGCGCTGTATCGCACTGCACTGTACCGCGCTGCACTGCCTCACCTGGCCCTGCCCTGCACTGTTCCTGATGGCGGCGGAGCTTCGCTTCGACGCTGAAGGCCAGCCTCTGGAGTTCGAGGCGTGGCTAGCCGACCTCCGCCGCCACCTCACTGGTCAGCGGCAGGATGGCCACTCGCTCTCGGCACACCTTGACGGTACGCTTCCCTGCACAGACCCCCCTGCTGTGCTGCCCGCTGACCCCACACCTGCTGAGCGCAAGTCTACTGCGGCCGCTGCCCTCGCTCGCTCTGTCTGGCTTTCCCGTGACGATGTCGTACAGCTTGCCATTAGCAATGCCCTCCCCCCGTCTGAGCGCCCTCGCTTTAGGTCTATCACCACCGCCCAGGCTTTCTTAGATGCTGTTATCCGGCGCTATTCCGCCCCGCCTGCTGCCTCGGTGGGTCGCCTGATCCTACCGATGCTCTTTCCTGACCTTGCGTCTTTCCCAACTGTCGCTGACCTGGCTGCCCACCTGCGCACGATAGATGAGACCTGGCGCGCTGCCTGCACTGACGCCCAGCTTAGAGACCACCAGCCGCCCCTTACCTCTACCCTCTACCTGCTTGCCACCCGCCTCCCTAACCGCCTTGCCGCTGCTCGTGACCGTTTCCTTAGCATTCACCCCGGTGACCTCACCCTCACGGACTTTGTAGACACCCTGACTGTTATTGAGACATGCCACCGCTCTATCGCCCAGGCGAGCGGTACTGTGCCGGTCCCTATCTTTCAGGGTTGTGCCCCTGCTCAGTGCACCTTCTCCGATGGTTCTGCAGCTGTGGCTGAGACCGCCGCTGCAGCGCAGTTCCGTCCGGGGAAGGGCCGCCACCCCAAGGCTGGGCGCGGCGGAGGAGGTGGGGGTGCAAGTGGAGGTGGTGGTGGAGTCGGGTCGTCTGGTGGTGGAGCGGACGAGGGGACCCTGCCAGGTCCAGCTGAGCAGCCGCCCCAGCAGCAGCAGCAGCCGCCGCAGACGAGGCAGGCGAGTGCCCTCCCGCCCGGGTGGCCTGGCGCTGGTGGTGGTCGTGCGCGTGGCCAGACGCCACTGCTTCGCTTTCCTTCACCTTGGACTCTGGCGCTTCCCGGTGTTTCTTCCGCGACTCCACTACGCTGACGCCGCCTCCTGTTCCTGCTGCAGTTTCTCTTGCTGACCCCTCCGGCGGTCCAGTAGTCGCCCGCAGTTCCACCACCCTTCCCTATCCGGCGGTTCCTTCGCGCTCTCTCACAGGCCTGCATATCCCCTCGTTCTCCAGGAACCTAGTTGGTGTCGGCTGCCTCCAGGACCTTGGCGTCACCACTACGTTCCCTGGTCACGAGCGGTATGCTGTCTGTACCGAGGTCGCCATTGGTGCCCCCCTGTCCACGTTCCCCCGGGACCCGGTGTCCGGCCTGTTCACCCTGGATACCGAGACCCCCCCGGCTGGGGCGCCCCTTCAGGTCGCTGCGTCTACCCAGGTTGCTGCTGCCTGCTCCTGTCGGTCCCTCACTCACCCGACTCTCCTTTGGCACCATCGCCTAGGTCACCCTGCGCTCCCGCGTCTGCGTCACATGTCCCAGCACGGTCTCGTCCTTGGCCTCCCTGGTTCGTGACAAAATCAGGGTGTTTTGTCAAACATATATGTACATGTTATTATAGGCTAGATAGGTGCGTACTCTTAGAGAGTAACCCCTCAGCACAAAACCACCCAGTATCTTTCATTCTAGTCCAATTCGTTACTCTGAGATGGTATCATGCTAGTTAGGTCCTCCTTGCCTACCCGCGCTTCCGCCCTAGTCCTAGCCCTAGCCCTATCCGCCCATAGCTAGCTGCCTGTTGCTAGCCACCTGTCGCTAGCCGCCCGTCGCTATCCGCCGGTTCCTAGCCGCCCGTCGCTAGCCACCGCTGCTAGCCGCTCGCCACTGGCCGCCCATCACCGCGTGCCGCCCATAGCCGCCAGCCGCCCGTAGCCCCGAGCCCGTCGGCCCTAGCTCGCCGGCCCTAGCGCACCGGCCCTCGCTCGTCACCGGCCCATTGCCCGCCGGCCCTAGCTTGCTGGCCCCGCGCGTCAGCCCCTGCACGCCGGCCCCGCGCTCGCTAGCCCCACGTTCGCCGGCCCCACGCTAGCTAGCCCCACGCCCGCTGGCCCCGAGTTCGCCCGCCCCTCGCTTGCTAGCCCCGCGCCCGCCAGCCCCACGCTCGCTGGTTCCGTGGTCGCTGGCCCCACGCTCACCGGCTCCGCTCTCGCCAGCCCCGCGCTCGCTGGCCCTATGTTTGCTGGCCCCGCGCTTGTTGGCCCCGCGCTTGTCGGCCCCCTGCTTGCCGGCCCATAGCTCGCTGGCCCCGCGCTCGCCGGCCCCTCGCTTCCTAGCCCCTAGCTCTCCAGCCCCCAGCTCCGCCAGCCCCAGCCCGTGCATGCCCTAGCTCCCGCCGAGCCAGGCCGCCATGTCGTCGAGCCTCCGAGCCGTCGTACCACCGAGCCACCGAGCCACCGAGCCGCCGTGCCGCCGAGCTGCCAAGCCGCCGTGACGCCGTATCGCTGAGCCGCCGAGCCGCTTTGCCGCCCCGACCCGCCGGCCTTAGCTCCCCTCCGCGCCGGCGATACCGCCAGCTGTCTCCACCTCTCTCCACTGCCCTCCACCGCTCTCCACCGCTCTCCACTGCTCTCCACCGTGCTCCCCTACTCTCCACCACTCTCCACCACTCTCCACCGCTCTCCGCTGCTCTCCTCCCCCTCCAACGGCAGTCAGCTGCTGCAGCCGTGGTGATGGCAGACTCTGTGCTCTGCCTGGACGCAGAGGGTCGGGCGGTTGATTTTGACGCCTAACTCGTCGACCTCCGCCGCCAGCTGACAAGTCAACGTCAGGAGGGCTATTCCCTGGCCGTCCATGTCGACGGTAAGCTCCTCTGCCCTGACCCGCCTGCTGCCCTCCCTGATGCCCCCGCGTCTGCTGAGCATGAGGCCTTTGCCGCTGCTGAGCTTGCCCGCGCTGTCTGGGAGTCGCGCGATGCAGTAGCACAGCTTGTTATAAATCACGACGTCCCCCTGTCTGAGCGTCCCCGCTTTACCACTGTAGCATGTGTGAATGAATACTTAGATGTGGTCATTGCACGCTATTCCACTCCCTCCTCCGCCTGTGCCGGCCGCCCGATCCTCCCCATGTTATTCCCTGATCTTTCTTCCTTCCCCACTGTCGCTGACCTTGCCACTCATTTCCGCGCACTTGAGACTAGCTACCGCGCTGCTAGCACTGAGGCACACCTCACTGCATTCCTGCCGCCGCTTTGCGCTACCCTTTACATTATTGTCACATGCCTCCCTGACCGCCTTGCCACTGTCCGCGACCACTTCCTTAGTCAGCACCCAGGTGACCTCACCCTTACCGCATTTGTCACCGCCCTGTCCGCGATAGAGACCCGCCAGCGCACTATCGCTCAGTCTAGCGGTACTGCAGTGGTCCCTATCTTCCAGGGCTGTGCTCCCTCCTAGTGCACTTACTCCAACGTTTCTACCTGTCACAGGATCGAATGTGTCGAGGAAAGATTTGCTCAATATTGCACTATCAATCAGTACAAGGTGCTTTTATACTTCCAGGGTACATCAGGTAACTAGGTTTATCCTATCCAAAGGGAATAGACCCTTCTAGAAATAGAATCACCCTGCATATAGCCACGCGAGGCTATTGGCTATAAGGGATTACGGCAGGATTACGCTAGATATAACGCGCCAGTACATCCCGAGCCTGGTCGGTGATATAATCATAATAACGGGATAAGCCAAAGGATAATGGAAAAGGAGGAATAGGAAACCAAATGAGATGAGATAAGGACCAAATGAATCAGGATAAAAAGAGGAATGAAGTAGAAAGGAAATATGGAAAGGGGAAATTGGTATAACGGGGTCGTACTCTCACACTACCGCTGTCGCTGAGACAACCCCTGCTGCTGAGGCCGCCGCCGCGGCCTCAGCGCAGCCGCGTCAGGGTAAGGGCCGCCGCCC